CTTGTACAGCAATTAACCACTAGGAAGAATGTATGCAATGTGTTAATTATTGAAACTGTCCTACCAATTTGGTTTGAAACTGTCTCATGGCTATTTGTTTCTCAATAAAATTATGGAAAAAAATAGAAAAAAAAATAAAATTAGTTGGGAAGGGCCAGCCAGATAGCTCAGCGGATTAAAGTGCCTGTTTAGGCAGACGCAGGGGCTGGCCTGGGTTGCAGTGCTGGCCCTGCCCTGAATTGCATCCTTCAACCCAAGGAAAAGAGAAAATTTTAAGATTCATTGTACCATGACTTTAAAAATTTCAACAGTGAAGGAATACCTGGCTTCAAATTGTTTCACTCCTGAATTTTATCAACACTTAAAGGAGAAATAAAATCAATTCGACAAATCTCTTCCAGAAAATAAAAAAAAATGGTGACCATTCTCAGACTAATTTTATTTATTTATTTCTATGTATTTAGTGCAGGGTGTCACTAGACAGATTGGACTCATAGTGATCCTCCTGTTTTTAAGCCTCCCAAATGGTGGGCTTACAGGTGCGTGCCACCATGCCCAGTCTCTTGTCCCTGGCAAGATGCTATGTGTGACTTACTCTTGGCCACACAGGTTTTTAAAGTTGGATTTTTTGGTTTAACATCAAGAAAAGTGATAAACACCGAGCCAGTGTTTTTCAAATTTTGTTATTCCAGTAGTGGAAAGTTTGAGCTTGGAGCCCTTTGACAGCCAAGGTATCACTATAGTGGGTTTAGATGATTCATATCTAATAGAATTACTGATAGGTTTAGACACAAGCTTATCATTTTATTACACTTTCTTCTCTCTGATTTTCCATCTCCCTTCACCAGCACTGTTTTGAGTTAAGTATTTAAATTTATTATAATTTGCTATTATATTATTCTGTATAATATTTTATTGGTTGCTTTAAGGCTACAAAATATATTCTTAACTTTTCACTGTCTATGGAGAATCAATGTTTTGCCATCCATTCATTGGAATGAATTTGAATGGAAGCCACAAATTTCCCTTTGCTCTTCTATTACACTGCAGTTATTTTATATATTATTCCTATGTACATTGAAAACTCCATCACAAAATGTTCTTTCAGGGGCCAGGGAGATGGCTCAGTGGAATAAGCACTTCCCTGGCAAGCTCAAGGATCTGAGTTCAATCCCCGGTTCCGAAAATAAAAGATGTGGAAAATGTATAATGGAGTACTACTCAGCTATAAAGAATGATAAACTTGAAGCCTTCATAT